TTTCCCCTATTTATTTATTTATTTATTTATTTTTATTTAAGGAGAAAAGAAAAGAAAGAAAAAAAAAACAGTGAAGGGGTACAAGTTATACAGATTTACAGAAGAAAAAAATGCGCAGTAGGAAATCACTAGTTAATGGATTACATATTGCCATCTTAGAAATAATTGTTCCAGTCACAAAATTAAAGCTTGTAGAGTGGACATTCCAACAATGATACTGCAAACAGTTCTGTTCAATGATCCAATAAAACTCTGTGATATCATTTTCTATCTTATACATTTAAATATACATGCAGTTATATAGTTTAGAGCACTTTCTTTTCCTCTCTTTTGTACAGTGACTATTACACATTTTGGGTTTCATTGCTCCCACGGTTCGTATTGCTTTTTTGGAAGAGAGTAAAACCAAATGTGACATAACAGAACAGAATCGGTCAAGTCAAAAGGGTGGATATAATAGATAATATAGAAACATAATAGAAGGTGATCAACAATGGTTACCATAATGCCTCCCACTATTTCTAATAGAATTGCCTATATCATTAGTTGTAATACAATTGAACAAAACCGTAAAGAATAAAACCGACAAAACCAAAACATTGGAGATATTGTAGGTCTTCAAAAGTAGATAAAAGTCAACGAGAATGGGCGTTATAATGAATCTCATTATTTTCTCAGCTGATGCCTAAACTTTCGAACCTGATACTATCCAGCAAAATAGAATAGAGGAACCTCAGTCAAAAACAGGATGGTGAGAGTAATACAGGGCTTCAAATCGAGATAATAGAGAGTCAAAGTGGGTTACTATATTATATCCTGCTATATTTTTCCCTTTAATTAAATGGATAAAAATAAAAAAGTAAATAATGGAGTGGAGATTGAGAAAAAAGAGGGCATAACAGCGAAACAGGGCAGATCAAAACATAACCATTTAAGCAGAATAGTGTTTCACCACCAGATAATCCTGACCCAAAAATAGTTACCATATTGACTCCCTCCCTGAAGTCCTTGAGTACAACTTCATATACTGTAGCATTAAGTATATCAAAACAATGTAAAACCATTTAAGAGAATGACAGCATTATAGAGTATTTAGAATCGACTAACAGAAAATGAACAATGGTCTCTGTATAATCTCCTTGTCTTTAAAAGGTTTTTGCTTATACTATCGTACATAACAAAATCCAATAAGATACAACCTGTTTAGACCATTGGAGACAGAAGAACAAAAGCTAGATGAGACTTCAAAACAAGATGGTACTAAATCAGCATTACCTATTAAGATGTCATTTTCTCCAAAAAAAGCTGTTCCTATCATCCAATCTTCTCTGTCTCATTTCTGTTGAGCTCTTTTTCTGTCAGTAGCTGTCAGTTTGTCTTCTTCATTTTGTTCTCTGCTCCATTCATTGTGGCCTCCCCGCCACTATTTCTGGGTTCTTTGTATTTTTCTTTTTTTAGAATATCCTGCAATACTTTCTGTAGGGTTGGATTGGTGGTTGCAAATTCCCCCAGTTCCTCTTTATCCTGGAAGCACCTCGTTTTTCCATCAATTTCCAGGGACAGTTGTGCAGGATATCTCAATCTTGGCTGGAGATTAGTATCTTTCAAAGCTTGAATTATTTCTCCCCATGCTCTTCGTGATTTGATGGTTTGTGAAGAGAAATCTGCTGTAATTCTGATGGGTATTCCCTTGTAAGTGATCTGTTTCTTGTCTCTTACAGCTTTTAATATTCTGTTCTTGTATTGAATTTCTGGAATTTTTATTATTATATGCCTGGGTGTTTCTCTGTTAGGGTTGTAGGTAGCTGGGGTCCTGTATGCCTCATACATCTGAGTATCTTTACCTTTTGCTAAATTAGGAAAATTCTCCTGGATTATTTCTGTGAGTAGCTTTTGTAGTTCACTTGTTTGTGTCCCTACTTCTTCTTTTATGTTCTTAATCCTTAAGTTATGGCTCCTCTTATCATCTTCTTGTCTTTGTATTATTGCTGTTTGTTTCTTTGTTATTTTTAAGAAGTTTTTCATTTCATTCTCCCATGTTTCAAGTCTGCCCTCCAGTTCAGATAGTCTGTCCTTAGTTTCTTTCAAGCTGTTATGCCAGTCTTGGATAGACTTCTTAATTTCTTGATAGTCCCTTTGAACCTGCTTCACATACTCAATGCTTTCTCTGTTTTCTCCATCAAGCAATTCTCCCCTCTTTTTCTGTTCTTCCATTCCACCATCTGCTTTTTCCTGGGTGGTGCTTAGCATTTCTCTAACTATTCTGCATACTTCTAGCTTCAGGTCATTGATAACTTCATTCCTGAATTGGTCTATGAGGCTCTCTATATGGCGCTTAATGTATATTGGTGCGGTGTCCACTATTGCCTGATTCTCAGGATTGGGGGCCGAGGAGCCTTTTTTGTTGCTTCCCTTCCCCATATTTTCTGTTCCTTATAAAATGCAAGCTTACATGGGAGGCCCGGCTTCCCTGCCTGTCAGCCACAGCCTGATCAAATTGCGCTGGCTAATTGTTCCCGCCCACCGCTGCGCAGCAGGGAGTTGCGGAGGAGGCAGCCTATGCGGGAGTCAGTCGCTCCTCCGGGCCACCGTCAGGCTCTGGGATCTGGGTTAGGCCAGCCTAGGGAGTCCGCCAGCAGCGTCACTCAGGCCAGGCACTTTTCACCAATCCCGTCCAAGAGGGGAATGTGTGGCTGGAGTTGCCACCGCACCCTGCTCTTACAGGACTGCCTGAGCCCAGAAAAACCTCCGCTGGAGTCAAACTGTGGTAGGGGGTCAGTTTCTCGCTCACCTCGCCACCAGTCAGTTTTTGTGTACGCCTCCTTGTCCGTCCTGTTTCCGACTCCGTTCGCAGACTCCCGTTCCCAGAGCTCGGCGCGTCTCTCCTTGCCGAGCCGCTGTGGAGGCAGCCAGCTGCCGGGCGGCGGGAAACCCAAATCGCGGTTTCCAATGGCGCGGGGTCGAGCCTCTACACCGAGTCTTTTCTGATCCTATTTTAGCGCCAGGACTGTATCCTAAGTTGGATTCTCTCAGCCCAGTTCGTTCCTGAGTCAGCAGAGCATATCTCTACTGGTTCGTGTCTCCTTAGTCCGCATCATTCCTGGCCTCTGAGCCGAGTCTTTCAGAGAGCCTTCAGTAGTTGCTGTTGTCTGTCCGCCATGTTCTCCCGGAGTCTTTCAGTCTGTTTTTTGTTTTGCTTATTTTTTGTTTTGAAGTCTTTTTCAGAGAGAAGTTTTAGGTTCACAGCAAAGTTAAAAAGAAACATACAGAGATTCCCCATACACTTTCATACTTCGACACATATAGTCTCTCCTCATTATCAGCATCCTCCACTGGAATAGTACATTTGTTACAGTTAATGGATATACGTTCACACAGCCTAATCACCCAGAGTCTATAGTTTCGTTGGATTCATTCTTGGTGTTGTGTAGTCTATGCTTTGGACAAATGTATAATAATACATATTCATTGTTACAATATCATATATACCTTTTCACACCTCCCCAATCCCTGACAATTGCTGATTTTTTTTCTTTTGGTGGTAGTAGGGATTGAACTAAGGGAGAGCTGAGCTCTCCATCCCTTTTTAATTTTTTATTTTGAGACAGGATCTCACTGAGTTGCCCAACCTGGGCTCAAATTTGCAATCTTTCTGCCTCAGCCTCCCAAGTAGCTACGCTTATTGGCTGGACCACCGTGTCCTACCTTACTCCCTAATTATTAGGGTTTGAGATCTTCTGTAATATGTTTGGTATTTTGGTTTTTTTCTTCAATGAGTTGTCATATTCTTTGCTTCTTTTTCTACTTTACTTTTAAAATTTGTGGGGATTCTTTACTCTAGATAATCCATTGGCAGTTTTATACATTGATAAGATCCTTATAATTTTAGGCAGTCCTATGCTGGTGTCTCAGTTTACTACAGTTAAGTCTGTGTTGTCTTTACTTCTGTGCTTTGAGTCATGGTATCAAGGAAACAGCTTTAGTTTATCAGATGAATTTACTTTGTCAGTGATAGTTCTTGTTTTGTTCCATAAAGCAGTCAATACAGGATAGTGAAGAATAAGGGCTGTAAAGTCTAATTACTTACGAGTCCTAGTTGGCAAGTTGCTTAACACTCTTGTTCTTGGCTTTTAATCTTTAAAATTTATGAGTCTAAGACTGTTATGATCTCTACTTTATATTTAATGAAACTGAGATACAAGGAGATGCAGTTAGAAACATGAACAAGCCAGGGATTTAGCTCAGCCACATAAGTACCTGCCTGGCAAGCATGAGATCCTGAGTTTGATCCCTAGTACCACACAAAAAAAGGACCCAAATAAAAAAAGAAACATGAACAAATAGAAGAAGTGTGGGAACCAGTCTTTAATTTTCCACTTTTGATAGTAAAGATAAGGATTCCAGCAAGGATTCTACCACTGAGCCACACCATCAGCCCAAGAAATGTGTCACTAATCAACTTGGAAAGGAAGCAGTGATAAGTCCCTGACTCATGGCATCGGTGTTAAGGGCAAACAGTAGAAGTATAGGCTATGGAAAACTAAAGTGTCCACAGAATAGTATATCTAAATCCATTGTAGAGTGAAAAACTGTCATTTTCATTAAAATAAAACAAAACCCCAAACCATTATTTTCATAACCTTAACTTGTTTTGCAAAGTGGTAAATTTTAAGAGCTAAAGAATTTAGATACCATCCCAAGCCACAGAACTCATAGTTGAAAAGTAGACGTGGAGGCAGTCTCAATGTAAGTGTTTATCCCTGTCAATTTCTATAGTCTCTGCATAAGATTCAGTTCCTGGAAGAGAATGAGCAGCCTAGAGGTCAGAGGTCCCAAGGTTTGGGGGGGATGATGGAATCCTGGGTTTTTGGGCCCCATCAGAGTCTTTTGGAATTGAGGAGGTACAGTTTTGGAAAGGATGGGATTTGAGGCTAGCAAAACCCAGTGTCAGCCTTGGACTGTCAGCTGTTTTAACTCTAGATTCTTGTCTACCTCTCAAGGAGGAGACGACCGCCGAGTTTTGCTGTGGCACATGGAACAAGCCATCCACTCCAGGGTCAAGCCCATCCAGCTGAAAGGAGAGCACCATTCCAACATTTTTTGCTTGGCTTTCAACAGTGGAAATACTAAAGTATTTTCTGGAGGTAAGAAGGAATTTAGTGTGGTTGGGATTTTAGAAGTGCTAAAGTTACTCATTATTTTTCTTCCTATGTCTTATTGAGCTATGGGATTACTGGTTTCTCTTTACAGCAGTTTATACTTGTGAGTTAGAATTTCTCCCTTATCTTTTTCCTATCCCCCCCCCCCTTTTCTTTTTGTCCTAAAATTTTTCATGTCGAAATCTGGCACACATACAACTTACCAGCTTACTTTACAATATATAGTATATTGTTGATTTTATTTTGTCTCTTTTTTTCCTTCCTTCCTTTTTTCTTTTCTTTCTTTCTCTTCCTTCCTTCCTTCTCTCTCTTTTTTGAACAGGTTCTTGCTATATAGTCCAGCAGCCTCTCTCTGTTTCATTTTTTAAAGTTGCTGGCAAAAAGCTAAATTTGCTGTCATGACCCATGAATGACATCTGTCTGAAAGGGTTGTGTTAGGGTACACTGGAATGGCTAGTGCTAAGCCTACCTCTTGGTGATGTCTTCCATCAACCACCCCTTTTTTGAACACCGAATTTCCAGACTTTACCCCTCTTCTGGGCTGCATATTTTCCCATTGGATATCTAGTTGTGTTTCAGAAGCCATTTAAATGCAACCCATTGGTAGCTAGGAATGCAGTTCATCACCAGTGTTTGTATACTATATGTGAGGCTCAGGGTTCAGTCCCTGGCACTATAAAAAAACAAACAAAACGCCAGCTGTGATGGCAAATACCTGTAATCCCAATACTCTGGAGGCTGAGGCAGGAGAATTGCCAAAAATTCAAGGCCAGCCTGGGCTACATAGTGAGTTTAAGGACAACCTTAACGACATAGCATAACCCTGTCTCAAAAATATAAAAATATAGGCCAGGGATATAGCTCAGTGGCACATATATAGCTCCCCTTCCTGGCAAGCATGAGGGCATGAGTTTGATCCTTGGTACAAAAAAAAAAAAAAAAGCAACAGATCTAAAACCAAGATAAAATAAACTGCTAACATGTAGTCTTTTTCAACTTACAAAATCACCAGTTTTACCTGGTTTTTATTAATAGTGATCTTAAAGCCATCCTCAAACCTACCTTTCTTTCATTTCCATGTATAGTTGGTCACTAAATCCTGTCAGTTCTGTCTTGCAAGTCTCTCAGGACTCATCCTTCAGTTTCAGTTCTCTTTTTGTACCCACTGCCCTGATACAGTTCTTCATCTTTGGCCTCAGCTACTAGAATGACTTTCTATCATTGTTTACATAAATTTTCAGTTAAAAATACAGATTTGACCATGTGTGCCTTTAACTGTTTAATGCCCACAGTATAAAATCTCAACTCCAGTCTGCTTCTCTAGCTTCATTTCTGTTACACTTAACTACTCACCATCTTAGGTGTGTACAATGTGTTGTGCCTTTTGTTAATTCTCTGGTGCCCTTTCATTAGTAATAGTTTCAGGTAATAGAAGTATCTCTTCAAATATGTTTTATTCTCCCATTCACTTTCTCTCTGCACATGAGGAATGTAATTGTCTTTTAATTAAACCATATCACTACAAGGCAAGTCTCTTGGTGCCACTAGTTTGTGAGTTTAGAGTGTCAGCTCCTAAAGAATGGGGCAGAATCTTGTTCTCACATCCTCAGTACATAGCACTATACCTGATACCTGGAAGGCATTAGTGTGGGTTATCAGTTTCATTCCCATGTACCCATGGTAGAATTTACAGAGAGGGATTTGAAATTTAAAATAACCATGTCTTATAGTGCTACTTTTACTTTCTATGAAGTGACTGCTGGGTGCACATTTAAGCCTAGAGTGGGATATATTTTACTTTCTGCTTTTTCATATTCAGGTTTTTGATTTTTATCTGTATAAATCATTTTGTAGTCATATCATGAATATAATTTTTTAGACCCCTTGATTTAAAAAAGGAGAAAAAGAAAAACTTTCCCATCACTCTGAACCACATAGTCATCACATTTTAATGCTATAAAGAAAGATGAAGAGGGAATGGTAGTAAACATTTATTATAGACCATTGGGGGGCGAACCTGAGGCACATGTTCCATAGTGGATCGTTCGAATCATTGAAAGCTCTAAAAGGTTCACTATCACTCTTACAAGCTTATCAGGTTGCTTGGCCCATTCTGAATACTTTTACAGACTTACATCTTTACAAGAGAACTATGCAATAGATACAATTACTTTCTCTGTATTCAGAGGAACAGCTGAGGCTTAGAAATGCTAGAGATGTTATTCCAGTCTCAACTAATGAATGTTTTGCTGGAGGGTAGAGGAAACTAGCTTGGATGAGTAAATTAGTTGAGCATTTACTGTTTTCCCTAGTGGCCAATGTTGTTTTGCTTAATCTACTGCATAATATATCTTGAACTATTATTATGTTCTACCTTATTGCTACTGTGCTTTCTTAAAATTCTCTTTCAGGATATTCTATCCTTAAAGTATTTTTATAGACCCTTTTTGAAGTAACACTCCTAATTAGTATTAACAATGACTATATTCATATTTGTCTCTCAAAACTCAAAATTACTACATTGTAATGTGGACAGGGATCAAATTCCTGCAGGAATTATCAAATCTCTGCTTTTTTCCTTTACAGGAAATGATGAGCAAGTTATCCTCCATGACGTTGAAAGGTAAATAGATTGTTGATGTGTGAAGGTGATTATTTTTTATATGAAGATAGGCAAATTTTTTTAGATCAAAATAGCTTTTTGAAGAAAATAATGTGGGGGGCTGGGGATTTAGCTCACAGCATAAGTGCCTACCTTGCAAGCAGGCAGTCGTGAGTTTGATCCCTGGTACCGATAAAAAGGAAAAAGACCAAAAAAAAAAAAAAAGGAAAATAATGTGAAACTAATGGTCTTTTTCTGAAAAAGTTTCCTGTGATATTTTTAAAATAAGGTTTTGATGTAAATAAATAAATAGAAGCAGGGCCTGGTGACATGACTATAATTCCAGTACTCAGGAGGCTGAGGCAGGAGTATTACTGGAAGTTCAAGGCTTACGTTGGCTACATGGGGAGTCTAAGGCGAGCCTGAACTACATAGTGAGACTGTCTCAAAACAAAATACACAAAAAAAGGGATTTACAAAGTTATATGAAATTATAGTTTTCAGGTGGAAATATAAGAGGAATAGTTAGGAAAAGAAGAGAAATAATACTAGTAATGATTGGGTTTGGTGCACACATCTATAATACTAGCTATTTAGGAAGCTAAGGCAGGAGGATTGTATGTTCAAGGCCAGCCTAGACAACAGCAAGAGTCAGTCTCAAAACCATCATCATCATCATCATCATCATCATCAAACTAGTATTTACTGAGTTCTTACCTCTCTGTGCCAGAAGCCATTCTAAGTGTTCTGTATGTATTACTGTAATTGGTTTTACTCTTATAGTCATTTTGTGAAGGGTGTTAATTGTGATCTCCTTTCCAGAAGAGGTAAAGAAATCACAGAAATATTAGGTAACTTACCTTAAAATGGTACTAGGACCTGAATGTAGTCTGTCTGGCTCAGAGTTGTGCTCTTAATCGCCATGCTGGGCTGCTGGGAAGTAAGCTCCCATACCTGCTGTGATCTGGCTGCTTTAAAGCTTTCCCTTGATTTTTGGAAATGAAGTACTACCCTCAAATCTGGACACAAGTATACACATTCTGTAATACATGAAAACAGAAAAGTCAACTGTTGAGTCATTTTTAAATATGCTTAGTGTGAAAATTATTATGAAATTTGTGGAAAATAGTATCTTTTCTCCCCTACTTTTAAGTTGAATCCTCAGCTTTTAGGAAACACAGTGACCTTTATTTCTCAGCTAGGTTGGTTTCTCAAAGAACTTGCAGTCTAGGTGCTAGAGGGCTGGGACTGTACAATGTATGTGTGCATGTGTGTGCCTGTGTGCCTCTCTCTTGCTCTGTTTCTCAGCAGTGAGACCTTGGACGTGTTTGCTCATGAAGATGCAGTATATGGCTTGTCAGTGAGCCCAGTAAATGACAACATTTTTGCCAGCTCTTCAGATGATGGCCGGGTTCTCATTTGGGATATCCGGGAGTCTCCTCATGGAGGTAGGATCTCTGTACAAAAAGCTGTTACCTTGAACAGTTTGATGACAGGATCACTGAAGAGTCCGTTTATGACATGAGTATCTGGGTGTGGGTGACATTCAGAAACATGAGGCTCACACAGCAGCATGCATGTGTATCTTTGAAATTGCCACCCTGCACTAAGTAGTTAGAAATTATGCACCTTTGCCAACCCTTCTCCAGATACCTATGAATTTGCACAAACTCTCATGCCTTGGCCTTGAGTGGCCAAAGAGCAAAGGATGTGGCACCTCATTGTAGTCACCAAGGGCTCACTGTGTGTGGTGCTGACACACAAATATTCTTGGTTGTTTATAAAGAATTGGTGTGCTGTATACCTTCTTGTAACCCTAGTTCTGAGTCTTGCTCTTTTGTTAGAAAACAAAAACAATCCCAGAAAGTGACCATACCTGTGTGAAAGATCACAAAATAGTGGCAGATATGTTCCATGTATGAGGAATTACCTGTGAGTGTCTCCACCAAATATATTCTTTTAGTATCTGACATGTGAAATGAAGAACTAGTTTTGTTACCTTTCTCTCACATTCTTCAGGAAATGCATCTTCTCTGCTCATTTGTTGCAGAGGATTTTCTCTCTGCTACTGTCTTCAAGGGCCTCTTTCTCCAGTTCCATCTTTTTGCCATCATCATCCCATTTCCATCCTTAGTTTGGTTTTGTAATATCACCTCTGTAAACAAATTTTCTATGGAAAATGAGATAATATAGTAGCCATTGTTTGTTTTCTGTTATTTGGTTCTGAATGCCCTGTAATAATCTCATTCTCTTGAATGTTTTTATACTATTTTGTTATGTTTGATACTATTGTATATGAAGTTATACTCAGCTATTTCAAAGAAAGAGACATTGTGGTAGTTACTGTTAATTATTGGTTGTCTTCTGGTGAAATACTGTGTTGCTTACATTGTTCTGATCTGCCTTGTTATGTCCTGTTTTGTCTTGATCTCTTTAAAATAAAAAAATGTGATCACCTCTGTACACAGAGTTGCTGTCCTACCTGTTTTGTCTGGCAGGGTTTGAGTCTTGTGTGTGCGTGGTTGTGGGAGTCAAACCCAGGGCCATGTCACGTACTAGGCAAGTACTCTACCCTGAGCTACGTCCTAACCCTTATTTTCTATATTTCAAGCTTGAACATGGTGAGATGTGCTAGTTATTGAGGTTCAGGCTATCAGAGAAGCTTGTCCTTACAGTTAGGCAGGCCTGGTCGCAGCAAGCAGTGACTGTGGCTGAGTTTCTTTGCACTTGGGAAAGGAAATTTTTCCCTGTCTTCACTACTTGATGGTGAGATAACTGAGCACTTCATCTTCCTGGAGCCTTGTGCAGTGCCATATGTGGATATCAGAGATGGAAAAAGGGGTTGTCTTTGACTATAACAGCTTCCATAGGAGTGTATCCTTTGAGGTAGCAAAGTGTTGCAAGGATTCTAGGTGAAGTGGACTAAGAACTACCTGGATGCTAGAAAAGTTCAAGCTTTAGGCATTTTTAAAAAGTAAAAATAGGGCCGAGGATTTAGCTCAGCAGCATAAGCGCCTGCCTTGCAAATGCGCAGTCATGAGTTTGATCCTTGATATAATAATAATAATAATAATAATAATAATAATAATAATGATGTTGGCAGTCAAATCATAAAAATCTACATTGAGCCACTTAGGTAGCAATATAAACTAGAAGTGCTATGGTTTTGCCTTAATTTTTTCACAGTCTTGGTTTATCTTTAATAAAGCTATTTGGATTTTAAGAACTTTTAATTTTTAAAACTAATAAATTTTAATTAAAAATAAAATCCTACCATAAATTGCTCATGGATTTTTTTAGCGTATGTGAAATTCAGTTTTACTAACTGTAAAAGATTTTATCTTTCCCCTTTTTAAGATGTTACATACATTTCTGAGTATTCTGACTTGAAGTGGTTAAACGTGTTTTAGTAGCTGTTGTTCTGTTACACACAGAAAATGTGTGTAGGCTCAGAGGTGCTTTCAGGAAAGGTACCCATTGGAGGCTGCACTGTGTTGGAGTTCTGATCCTTTGGGATGGTTATTGTTTTTTCATGTGCACATTCACACTTGTCGCCTGTCTGCCACTGATCCAGTGTGCCTGGAATGAGCTGGTTGTAATTTCTTTTTTCACAGAGCCGTTCTGCCTGGCAAACTATCCTTCAGCCTTTCACAGTGTCATGTTTAACCCGGTGGAGCCCAGGTTATTGGCCACAGCCAATTCAAAGGAAGGAGTAGGACTTTGGGATATTCGAAAACCTCAGAGGTGGGTCCCTCTTGATTCATAAAGTTTTCAAATTTTTCCCTCCTTCATTTCTCAGGTAAAGTGATCAGTCAGCAAGTGTTGTGAGAACTGGCTTCGCTGTTGCTCTTAGTTGGGCATCTTTTAACGTGTACTGGTATCTCTGAACCAAGGAGAGCCTATTCCTGAGCAGCAGGCGGAATGAGAAACCCACACTTCCTGCTGAAGAGGAGTCCTGAATTGTAGTCCGGACTCTTAGACAAGTCAGTTCCAGGCAATATTGTGGAGGAGTGAGAGCCTCCCTTCAATACTGTGAGGCTATCACTGCCTAGATAAATAGGTACTTTTGAGGGGCTGGGGGCTGGGGATATGGAGATTTGCCAGAGTCATTGTTGCTGAGCCAGGGATTTATTCAATTCTATTTTATTTATTTATTTTTTTGTACTGGGCATCAAACTACAACCTTGCGTTTGCCATGCAGGCGCTGTGCCAGAGGTTCTTAATCCCAGGCTGAAGGGGTTACTTTGCTGGACTTGTTCTGGGCTTATGGAGAACTATGAATCCCCAACATTGTATGGAAAATATATATATTGTATATTCATAGAAGTGTCTTTTTCTGAGAAGGAAGTTTGTTTTTTCCAGTTTCTTCAAAGGATTGGTGAGCACAACAAAAGGTTAAGAGCCAGTATACTGTGATATTAGTGATATAATGATTTTCTCCTTCTCTTTTCATTACTAAACAAGTATAGTTAGAATTATCCTGACCTTTTCATGTGAATCAGTATTGGGGGGATTTCACGCATGGAAGGATATGAAGATGAGGTCAAATAGGTCTTTTTATGTTCTGTAAATCCTACGAAGTTGGAATGACCTTTTATGGCACCTTTATATAAAAGCCAACTTTGCTTTATAAAAGACAACTAGCTCCTCTGCTAATCCAGTGTGGAGGCAATCTCCTGCATTAGAAAGTAGTATTGTAAAAGAATGTCATAGAAAGTAAGCAAGGTTATAATTTATTTCGTGGGCCTCATATGAAAAGGACAGTATAGAGGATTATTGTCCTTTAATTTTATCCTGGCTGATTCTCTCCATGGGGCAGTCAGAAGTTAAAACTATTACAGCAGATCTGTGTAGCTCAGAGGGGTTCCATCATGTTGAGCAGAGCTCCCTGAGGCTCCATAGGGCAGCAGAGATTTTTCTTGCCCTTTGTGTTGCATATAAACGTAGCTTTTGCTTTTCCAGTGCAGGTGGTGGCTGACCCCTGTTGTACCTTTGCACTGCCTTGTGAGGAAGACAGTCTCCTGAGTTCAGCACTAGTATTCTCTGCCACTCTATACTGTGAAGATCAGCTGTTCTGATCATCTGCCCATTATATTGTAAAAGGCAAGATTTGTACTATGCTAGCCCTTTCTAAACCTATTACTCCCCACTTACAGCTGCAGTGACAGCTGGTAACTGGAGTGGGCACTGAGGTAATCATCTCCAGTGGAAATCTTGACTGATTCATGGTGTCAGCAGTGTCTTAAGAGAAAAAAGAAGGCCAGGAATATAGCTCAGCAACACAGCAACGGCAAGCTCAAGGTTATGAGTTTGATCCTGGTACTGAAAAAAAGATGGAGAAGGGTATGGCTATGAGTGTTTTAACTCTTCTCTTGATTATCCTCCAGTCTTCTCCCCTGCTTTCTTGCTGATATGGGCCCTTTTCCCCTTTCTACTTGTCTCCTCATTAAACATGGTTTCTTTTCTTTTAAAAAAAAAACTTCTAAGTTGCTGGGGATTTAGCTCAGTGGCATAAAGCACACTTGCCTGGCAAGTGTGAGGTCATGAGTTCAATCCCCTAAATTAGCCATGCAGGGGTTACCTAAGCCTATAATCCCAACACTCTGGGAGGCTGAGGAAGGAGGACTGAAGTTTCAAGTGCAACCTGGGCGACTTAGCAAATCTTTAGGTTTTTATATTTATTGCATTTTAAAATTTTGTTCATATTTTAGATGTATATGATAACATTCATCATACGGAATTTGTACCTGTGCATGATATATCTTATGTCTTTTGTCTTCAAATTTTAAAAATGGAGCTGAGGATTTAACTCAGTGTAAAAGTCATGAGTTCATTCCCCTGACACCCCCCACCTATCTGAGTAATGACCATTGTTTGTTTTTTTTTAACAGTAGCATTTATTGAATTTAAGTATAATGAAACAAGTATCTCCAGATTATATTTCTTTTTAGAACATAGTTTGATGCAGTTACATCTTGTAAAGAATTCAGACTGAAGATTCATGTACTAGTATCCACTGTTCTCAATTTTATACTCCAGTTAATATGTCTGGGTAGCTTTTCATACCAGCACTTACAGATCTGGCTAGTACTTTTAGTTACTATATGGGTATTTCATTGATATGATGCACCTATAAACCAGTTTCTAAAGATTACATTGATTTATAAGCCTGCCAATTATATTTGAGACTACATGTTTCCCTAGGCTTTAGCCAGTTACTAGCCTTCTAGGAAAGTACCTTCTTGTTTTGATTTCTTCTTCAATTATGGTTGAAGTTTTGTGGTTTCTTTGGTGACCTATAGTTTTCAAAGCCCATGAGGGAGAAATGTCACCTAATATACCTAATTGGCGATCTTGCCTGATTCTTTTTTTTGGAATAAATGGATGAACACAGTGCTGTGGGAATTAGGATGTTTGTTTCTGCTCTTCTAATGTTCTATGGGGTTTGGGTGTCAGGGGAAAAAAAGAAAATGAAATATTCCTAAGTAGGTTTTGATCTTATACCCGTTGAAGTTTAGGGATTGAATTATAGATCTTTTCTGTTTGAATTCTCTCAGAACTAGCTGGTATGGAAAAAGAGGGCTCTTTCTTTTCCACATAGGATTAATTATGCTAGGTTGCAGTAGATGATTTGTCTTCTAAGCACATCTGCTTAAAAACTCCAACCTGAGTCTTGGGGTCAATTCTAGGTCCCATGGACAGACAAGCCTGGTATAGATCACTTAAAGTGTAAGGAAAGATTTTAGGGAATTTGTGAACCTTTAGTTGTAGGAGCTGGGCATGGTGGCACACACCTGTAATTTTAGCACTTGTGAGGCTGAGGTTCAAGTCCAGGCTGGACTACAGAGTGAGACTCTGTCTCAAAACAAACAGTTAGCTGGAGATGAAACGGAGTATGATCAACTGAGTGAATGCATGTAGCATTTTCTTTCTTGGGACAAACTAGCCAGGGCTTCATAGAGACTGTTCTTCCCCACAAAAGGACAAGAGATTTAGTGTTCTGAGATTTAGAATTTATTGTGGTTCCTTACCAGCCTTATAAGTGACTTCCAGCCTGTAATAGCATGGGCAAGTGAGTGAATTCAGGTCCTACTCAGACCGCTGTCCTCTTAAGACAAACATAATGTCATTGGAGAGCACTGAAAGATGCCTCACATGAACATTTTTTCCTTTCTCAATTAACTTACAGATTATTCAGTTCCTGAGTGGATTCTCTAGCTTACTCCCAGCCTAAGCTGTACTATTTTACTTGAACTCCATATAGCCTATGGGTGTAGAGTTCAAGTCTCTTTTGTTCCACTTCTGTCCTAAAATAAGCTGCTAAAGAGCAGGCTAGCAAAATAAAATATCCACTCTAAAAAGGACTTTAGTTATCATCTGATCTAACTTTTCATGGTTCAAATTAAGAAACTAGCCTGGCAAAATAAGGAAAGGTAAAACACTTGATGGCTTAGAGCAGTGATCGCAAGCCTTTCAGAGTGTTCCATGTTACAGCCTGCTGCGGCCCACGTGCCATAGGTAGGAAATCTGGCCGGATCCAGGTGTAGTACACCGTATGTGATCTTTATCAAGTCACTTCACTTCTCAGTGCCTTATAATAAATAATAGCTCACATTTACTAAACATTATAAATTATGGGTAATAATAGTTTTGGAGTAATTACCTTATTTAATCCTTGTAATGGCCCTATGAAATAAGTTCTGTTATTACTTTAATGGTAAGGAAATTAAGGTGTACAGAGGTGGAATAACTTGTATGGATTTGTGTGTAGGTGTACAGGTAATCATACTCCCTTCTTTCCCTTTTTCTAAATCAAGATGCATCCTTCCACATTTTAGTTTTCTTTCACCTGTGCCTCCTCTCAGAATGTTTTCAGAATTCCTGTTATTTTTTGCAATACAAACTTTTTACAGCTGTGGAGTATGAGTTCTTTAGATTGTTACTAGGAGTTTCCCCTTTAAAAATGACATAATAGAATTTGGAAAAGTTGCGTTTTTAACATCTCTTTAGAAAGTCAAAAGAACTGGAATCATCAGGCCTTTTTCTTATATGGTAACATTAAGCAAAACTTGTATCATAAGTTTTCCTTTAAACTGTGATGTATTGAGGATGTTACCGTTTTCTGATGTCTTAATACAGGTGTAGCCTCTTGTATTATTTGCCTAGCCCTGCAGATATCTGTTGGGGTTGGAAAAGTCAGCTTTAGGAATTTTAGTATGGCGAATGGGCTAGAGAAAGGGAAAATTTGAGTATAACTAACTAAAAGAGAGATCTTCATATTTACAAGGATGTATTGCATATTTGAGCGAGGTTTCATTTATTTCCTTTAGATTCTGTTATCTTTATAACTATTGTCCTTTGTCCTTGCCAACCACCCATTTATATCTTGTTTGGACTGTTGCAGTACCAAAACAGTTTCCAGAACTGTGATCCACTAATATCTAGAGAATAAGAAATCAGAGTTGCCCCTGCTGTCATTGTTTATCTGATCCTTTTTATTGCCTTTTAAAACTCTTCTTAAACCACCTCTTCCCCTTCGGATCTTTTCATTTTCTGTCAGGAACTGTTAGTTCTGTGATAGGTAATAGTGTCTTGCTTTGACAAGGATAATAGGAGAGTGGTTCTTTTCCACTAAACAGTAAAACAAGGGAAAGCCATGAATCCCTATGAAGACTTTGCTCTTCAGATGGTGCTTTTTAGGAGTTGCATAAATGACACAGTAGAAATTGGTAGTGCGTGCATAT